AAAATGAAAACTACTATTACAGCTTGAACTGAATGTGCAAAATGTTCTATCCCAAGATGATCTTACCTCTTTTAAACCATTGAAAGGTCCAAGAGCTGAAACAGTGTTCCCCTGAACCATGATATAGCAGCTGGTTAATATTTCTAGCGCCTATGTCAAAATAAGATAACAGTATACATTTCAGGATGCAATACTCATAGGCACGTATTTTACTGAATATGAAAACAAGCATTTACAGAGGACCTATTTTTGAATAAGCATGCCTTGGAGTGAGTTACAAGAACAAAGACATACCTTTAGAGTAGATCCATTTGGACCAATAAGCCTCTGTCTTCTTTTTATAAATCTTTCTCTGTTTCTGACCAAGGATCCTATTTTAATGATGTCACATGCTATATTATCTTCAAGGATACGTACAGACTAAATGGAAATCAGAGATAGTTTCAAGTTAAATATATACAGATATAATCAAGTATCTAGTTATAAAATATTCATTTTCTTCTAATAAACTATTTTGTTATCAGAGCTCTTGAAATCAAAGAATTAAAGTTTAAAAAGATAGAAAAACAAACCTGCTCAAATGGAACACTTCTGGCTAAAAGTTTTATTAAATCTCGGGCTCTGATGATGACATATGGATCAAAGGTCTTCTTTGTTGTGCTGACAGTCATGCTTCCTTCAATTAGGTCTAAAGCTGCATTTATATGCTGTAGCGTAAGAGAACAAACTATTCTCAGAATAACAACAAATTCTTAATGATCTCAGAAATGTATGTAATCAATAAAATTTACAAACAAAAAAAAATCTATTGGTATCTAGGAGTAAAGAGGAATTAAACAGTTTCATAATAAGGGTTTTATTTAGAAACCTTAAGCAGATGCCTTTTAAAATTAAAAGAACTTATATGAAGAAAGTTTGGAGTTGTGTTGTCAATCAGGGACTCAGGCCTGTGCTCCAATGAGGCTTCCATTGCAACCTTTGAAATCTCCAGGTCCTATTTCCTACTTTTTTTCTTTTGTTATCTCTTCTCTGCCATCTCCCAATAGCCTGAATATTTTACCTGGGAAGTCAATCTGAAGCCAGAAGAAACAAGCAAATGGTAGAACAGAGGGGATGAGCACATGGGCATATGTTAAGGAATATAACTCATTAATTACATCCTGGTCAGGGCACCCTAAAATCTTGGAATCAGTATTATCCCTTTTGCTTTCAAACGTATTTGTGACAGAAGCCTGTTAATAAAACATCTGAGATACATTTATTTCTAAATAACTGATATGATACATACTGTACCTAAGTATTATAGGAACTCTTGTGCAATCAAAATAGAAATCTCTTGCTTAAGGAACATATTACTATAGCCTTCTTTATCTGCATATATGGAAATCACAAAGTAGACAGTGAATGAGATAATCATCTATAGTTAACACCTGTTATTCATCAATATAGCTAAGACATGGTTTTCCTCAAAATCCATGTTTTTTAAGTGGTTTGGTAACATTATCTCTGTGAAAGTATAAGTAAAGATTCTTACATGTTCATTCAAAGCTTTCTGCACTAATGGCCAGCATTCCTTCAAATAAGCTTCTCTGTATTTAGGGAAAAGAGTAGCAAAGCTGCTTTCTTCCAAAAGCCCTTTAGGGTTATCTTCTTTTGTAAAAGGTGGTTCTTTCCATCCATCAGGCACAGTGAGAAGTCCTGATTCATCTTCTGTTGGCAAAAATATTTATGTTAGAATGTCTTTCAAACATAAAAATATTTGGATTGAAGATTATTAACTGGAGAAACAGAATGTTCAGCAACAAGTTCTATTCTACTTCTTCAAAGAAAGAATAGCATACAAGTTTGAATCTAGCAATGAGGTTCCCTAGCTGGTCAAAAGGAAGCAGTGCTATGACAGTGCCAATCTGGAGCATGAAAAAGAACAACTGGCAAGGAGATACATTTTATTTGCCCCTTTGTTGGTGGCAGATCTACCATAGTCAAGCAATTGCTGGTTATGAATGCAGCCATTATAAGACTTTCATAAAAGGGATAATTAAATAACCCAACTTTTTTCATAACTGGGGACTTCTATGTATTTTGTTGCAATCCACTTCAGAATGTTTACACTGCAGCTTTGGAGAGAAAAAATCTAAAAGCAGAGCATTTCATAACACCTGCTGTTGCAAAAAAAACACACCCAACCCCCCCCCCCAAAAAAAACAGTTAACAGTGAAGCAGTGTCTCTTTTCTTTCAGATACCAGTGTGATTTGACAGTTCCTCCTCATTCTAGACCAGGGGTAGGCAACCTTGGCTCTTTTATGACTCGTGGGCTTCAACTCCCAGAATTCCTGAGCCAGAATTCTGGGAGTTGAAGTCCACGAGTCATAAAAGAGCCAAGGTTGCCTACCCCTGGTCTAGACATACAAAAGTACTTTGTCTCCCCATATATTGAATTTTAATATATCATAATAGAAAAGCTGGAGGGCCGACACTAATTGTATGCCTTTATACATCTTCTCTTGCAAGAAAAGCACAGCTACTCAAAATTTAGCTATTTTGCACTTTAGCCCAAGAGCATACATAGCAATTTAATAATACATTGAAGAAAAAACAAACCTGAACACACTAAAAATTCAGCTATAAATGCCCGACACATAATTCTAAGATGAATTTAATTTAAAAATAAATGACATCCACTGCATAGTTATCATCCACGGAGAGAATAAGAATACCCTATAGGGATAGGCAACCTTGGCTCTTTTATGACTCGTGGACTTCAACTCCCAGAATTCCTGAGCCAGCCATGCTGGCTCAGGAATTCTGGGAGTTGAAGTCCACGAGTCATAAAGGAGCCAAGGTTGCCTACCCCTCTGGTCTGCAAAAATACGGACGGCCAAAAGGTGTTTTGTATTTCTTAGTGATATGGATTTTGAAGCCCAGTTATGGTAATTAGCACCGAGCAGCAAACAGCCAGCGACTTCAACACAATATGTTCACAACCAATTTCAACACAAATTAGTTTATACGCCCAAGTGCTCCCTTTAAAAAAACAGCATAAACCACCATAGGGAGACACATGGCACGTCCAACTAGCAGTCACACTTCGACAAGGGAGGATGGTATCACCTGGGGTCGTGTTGTCGGTCTTGGGTAGTCGAGTCGCAGCTCCGCGTTTTCGCCGTTCAGCCTTCCCAGACGCCGCCATGTTGCTTCCACTTCGCGGCTGCGCGGAGTCTCCGCCTCTCAGCGGCCACGTGACAAGACAGAAGCGCAGAGACGGAGATCCTGGGAGGATGGAGGAGGTCGCCGGAGTTCTCCATAGAGATACAAAAATAGGATATTAGATAACTTAAAAATGCGGTAAATTTCTCTGGCGAATCTTTTTCCCAACGCAACCTCGTATTTGTCTATCATTTGCGTTGCCAATAAAATGAACCTGGAATCAGTTTTAAGACGGAATTGTTAATAAAGAATCAATCAAGGGGAGTGTGACTTGGCGATTCTTTCCAATTTTAGAAACCTACAGCCCTCCGAATCGTAATTTCAGAGGATGCTTTGCAATAGTACACTCTGAAGAAGCCTTCATTATTATGATTTCTGAATAAGTACCTACCTACTGTATTGAAAGCTGGGCTTGTAATAAGAATTCTTGTTTTGAAGTTCTAAGATAGCATTTTTCTGAATAACTCTTTTATTTGGGTTTAGCTCCATCAAATCAAAGAGTGCCAATTCCAATTCCTTTTACAAAACTGATCCAAAAATTCTCGTGATTCCTGAAGTTTAGTTGCAATAATTAAAAAGATAACACTAATCTTTGAAAGCATATTTTATTAGAGGTAATTAGCGTGGAGTTTATGGCTACCAATTCTACAAACACTTTTTCCAGGCTAAAGTTAAGGTTGAATCAAAACAAAACCCTACAGTATTTGGCATCTTTCGGTAATGCCATACTTCATGGCTACCCAAATGCTATAAAAATCTTCAAGATAGCAATGACAGCTAACGGTGAGCCTTTGGTAGATTTAGCAATATTTCAGTTTTTTACTCTTGAGTAGTTTTTTAATACTCAGTATTTAAAATATTGCTTCTGGAGCTGAGAAATTGATTAAACATTCTCATTAATGGACAGGAAATGGGTTTTCTTGAAAAGTGGCAAAATAATAACTACAGTACTACATTGAAATTTCTGCAGTATCAAGTGGTGTGTTTTCATCAGATCAAACATGACTTCCATAATGTAAGTCATTTACTAGTTCCTTTTTCTGTGAGTCTTACAAATTACTAGAAAATCCTGTGATTCATTGGGTCATTTTGAGAGAAAGATAGTAAGTCTGATGAGTCTAGAAAGAACATTAAATTTTGGGCTGACAATGCTGGGGATAAAAAAGAATATATTCTAAGAAGAATATAGTTAAGAAAATAATATATCATAAATAGAAAAATAATTGTAGTGGCAAATGAACTTCAATAAAAAGTTCATGTTTACTTACCTAAACAGATAAACAGAATGACCATGAGAAGGCAAAAAAGCAGTGGTACTAGGAGTGATATCCAACTTCCTGCATTCCCCATTTATTTACATAAACTTAAACTTATATGCCGCCCTTCTCCCTATAGGACTCAGGGCGGCTTACAGCATATTAAAACACACAAACGCCATCCCCCATAAAACCAATTAAAAACCAAATATTTGTCGCTGTATAGTTATTAAAATTCGAATTAAAATTGTCCCTATTTAAAATTCTCCCTAGGCCAGACCCGCTTGTTGAAAAAGCCATGTCTTGA